AATTTGGCAGCCAAGGCAGGAAAACTAGACAGTGGCTCAATGCACTTGAGTTGGAAGTTAGGATTTAAGATACTTAGAAACAGCCAACTACAAAACATGCAAACTCATCTGTGAAAAAGAAGTGGATTGCAGGGGGCACCTAGCAACAATCAGGGCTTGCAGTTTACTCAACTATATTTCCACCTCACTGGTGAGGAAGTGTTGTGATTTTGCCATATTGTAAAAGAAGACGCATTAACTGAGTAAACTCATACCTGTCAAATGTCTGGTAGGAGATTTCTTGCACAAACATGATACTTATTAGTCTGAGTGGGGTTTATTTTCTGTACACTTTGAATAGACAATTTATGCGAAGGGCAACTGAAAGTTGATGGCAATATCACTCGTTTCACTGCTATTTGATCTACAAAAACTATCACAGATATTTTTTGATTAATAACCTTTATTATAATGAGTGTCACTTCACAAAATGTTCGCCTTGATGCTAGAATGTGAAGGGATCATTGAAGATATTGGTCACATGATGATCCAAAGTGGTGGGATAACAAAAATTGCCATTTGTCAGAACCCTCAGCAATCCAACCTCATAGAAAGGAAAATCAAATTCCCAGTTTGCTTCTGTTTACTGTTAGGCTTAGCAATTTCATTAAAGCTAAGAGGAGCCGTTTCTCTTACTTGTACTGATTTTCAAAGCAATAAAAAAATGTCCTTTGGGCGATTTTTATTTCAGCTGCACACCTGTGGATATACTTGGTGTTTCAAAGGGGATTAAATTACTGTTTTTATATTGATATTTGGCATCTTTGTACATAGAACTGCTTTGAAAAAGCTACATATTTACAATAGAAAACATCATTGCAAAGAAACCGGTCATTGGGTTCACTGGGTGGATTTGATGCCAGGACTCTCTATACTGTGTAATCCAAAAAAACAAACTGGAGGGATCTGAACTGGTGTGGGTCTGCTCCATGGTTTCATTCTTTTGGCACTTTGAGTTATACACAGTGATAATCAAGAAGGTGAGAGTTGGTTTGGGGTATAAATGAGGCTTAAGAAAATGCTACTTTTATAAATAAAGCCTCAGTGTGACATAAGAATTCGCTTTTTGAATAAACACAGTGAAATTTCATGTATGTGAGCAAGTGTTGTTTATGGAATAAGACAACTCCACCGAGGAAATGCCAGAGTTTAATGTGACTATAATACAAGCAGCACTGCATAAGACACAATCAAAAGCCTGAATATATTTCATAATACAATCCAGATATCAATATACTTAAAAGAGAGTTATATAATTGTTTTGTCAGATTTTGATTTTATATCACAGCTGTTTTAATACAGGAATCAGAGTCAAAAAGCAAGCCACACTAAACAAAATGCACTAAAAGTTGTACAAATGTGTGTCTCTCCAGAAACTTACAGTTAGAAAGAATTACATTTATTGCATTTACTCACAAAATGGTATGTGCATACATTTGGTTTTACCATACTGTTTTTAATTCCATTTTTATTTATGAGAAAAAACATTTTACTGAGCATGGAGTAGATGAATTTTGAAGAAAAAAAAAAGAAAGAAAGTTTAATCCATAAATCTACATTTCAAAATGAAAATAAAACATGTAAGAAAATAGCCATCACATTACAGTTACAGTATATTCATTGTACTCATGAAACAGTAAATACCAAAGGGAACGCAGGGATAAAATTCTCATAGAGCCTAGAAATTAAAAGAGCTCACAGCGTTAGCAGTAATAATAAAAAGTACACAAATAAAGCAGAATAAAAGCTGGAACCACTTAGTCTGTATCCTCTGATCTTCTTCTCCTGTACTTAGATATGCCTAAACATATGATTAATATTGATCAGTAGTCTATAATTACTAAAACAGTTATACTGTAATTTGGGGACTGCAATAAAAAGTGATATCAAACTGAAAATACATTCTTGATTAAAAAGAAAAATGTTGTTCATTAACTCTTTTTACGGAAATCAGTAGCTATGTTCCCTACACCATCAGGATGTGGTTTCCAAGCACGTCCTATTTAAAGAAAGAAAGAAAGAAAGAAAGAAAGAAAGAAAGAAAGAAAGAAAGAAAGAAAGAAAGAAAGAAAGAAAAAATCCTGAGTCCTTTGTGGGTATAATTATCTGTGCAGTCAGCAATACAGTGAGCAAAGTCATCAACTGCATCTCTGTCAGAAAAAGCCTCGACTCTCACATCTAAGAGCCTCAATGAGAGCGAGGGCAAGACTCGGATGACCGGTATTTGCTGTTGTCAGGAGAAAGATGGTGCTGTGGACTAAAATCTTAAGCAGAGTATTTGTGGTTACAGAGAATACCGAGCAGTACTGTATTTAAAGCTCTCATCTTGTGTAGTTTAAATTATTTTGTTGCACTGAGATAAAGCTACTATACGGTGATTTGGCACATCACATATATTGTACAACATTAAAATTCTTCATTTCCATTGTTCTGTTGTTTTCTTGGTTACAAAGATGGCTACCAGGAAAAGTACAACAAGCATCGGTACATTCAACAGCCAGGCTGATTGATACAGCACAACACAATCTGAAAACTGTTTACGTAGCATCATAAGCAAGTATAAGCATAAGCAAGATTTCCAAAGACATATGTGAATATAAGCTTTAGCTTTTAGTATTTACAACCAAATGTAATAATAAAATACATTGTTTCTCAAGCAGAGTGCAACTTAAATAGTAGGTCTTTTATTTTTAATCTACGGTGAAGGACCATCAGCAGGGATGGACAGCTTACTTGAAAAATGTTACTCATTTAATACTCATGTATATGATCCTTGTCATGAGTGCAGTTAAGATGTACCTTATTTAACAACCCCAAAACACACACAGTGATGATTACAACTTCAATATGTAGAAAAACAATTAAAAAAATCTTTTAGTTCCAGTCTTTCATATTTTTTCCTCAATGGGAGGTACAGCAGACTATTTGCCAAACAGATGGCTGTGATACTGACCACAAACTCCAGAGGTCTATTACACAAAAATATTGTCTGTAGTCATATGAAATTTGCTTTAAGATGATTATAAAGCATGTTTGATAGTTCAATCAAATCAAAACAGGCTCTTAAACCCTAAAGATGGACTACGGGGATTACAATCAAGTCATTGCCAAATAAATTAAGACAATGTTGATTTAGTCTATGGGCACCTATAGTTTCCTGGTAAACTAGTTTTGGCACTGGTTTTAATTCTCAATCTGGTGTCTGTAACAACAGACAAAATAAAGAAAAGTTATCCACTACAGAGTTAAATATTAGCCAACTTTCATTCAACTTAACTTGAAACAAAATTGTATGTTTCCATGATATTAGTGAGTCATGCTTGCTAATCTTTTTAAAAAAGGGCCTTTTTGGTACTAATTTAACTAGAATTCACAAGCACATTAGGACTATTAAAGACCTTCATATCCTAGACCCTTTTAATGAAACAAAAGAGTAGCTTTTTAGAGTTATTGCGCCATAATCACACTCCTGTCTTCGGAAAACCATTGTTTGCTTTCACTGTCCAGGTTTTCAGGGTTAACATTAGCATACCAAGCTAAAAGTAGTTAGCAACACGTAAACTGGGCTTAAATGTGTCTAGTTTATGACAATTAATTTGTAGAAACAGTTTTGGATGTAGCTAGGAGCCACCTGTTTTAGAAACAGCTAGCTAAGACGAGATCATTCAAGCTAGCTCAGCTAGCATGTTATCCTATACCTCTTTCATCACTAAAGAAACAAAGATGGCAAAACAACCACTGGATCAGATGCATGAATTTTGTGATCCTTTACTACTTCTTCATTGAATAATCCAAATCCTGCAAAATCATACAAGTATTTATTTATTTTTTTAAACAGACTGTATTACAGGTATATATGTGTTGCTTCTTTTAATGCAACTCTTACTTTTTATGAAAAATTTCCACTTATTGGACCTGCACCAATATTGTTTTTCTTTTCCTCATGCAGAGTTTTAAATTCATTGATTTGAATAAACTCACTTTCTACATTTTAAGAGAGGTCACTGTCGAAGAAGGATGACTTTTTCTCAGTTTCAGACAGGTTTTTTTTTTTTCCATCAGTGATGACATGTACAGTAGCAATCACAGCCGGATCAAAGAGGCAGTAATCGTGTCCTGCAGTCACTGGTGCCTTATCCCCTCTAGTCCAGGTGAAATTAACAGCGCTTATGTGGAATATTACAGCTTTCGCGATATCCATGCAACAGAAAAAGAAAAAGTCAAACATTTGTGCAGTTAGTTGAGGGCGGCGTATCCGCTTTGCTACGAATGTCTTTGATGTCATTGAGCGGGGAGTCACTGGTTCTAATCTGGCATTTAAACACCTGCTTATAGGCCTTTCTGAAGTTCTCCGACAGGAAGGCGTAGATGACCGGGTTGACTGATGAATTGCTGTACGCCAGGCAGTGTGCAGCCACCCGCAATACAAAGGAGGCTTGGTTTAGCGGGAAGGTCCCAAACTCCACCCAGAGGTGAACTACATGATGAGGGAGCCACGACAGGCAGAACACCACCACCACCACAAGCACCGTCTGAGCAGTCTGGGATCCACAAAGGAAAGGGAAAAAGGTAAGATTTTGTCAGTATCCACAAGGATAACAAATACAGAATTTAATATTCTATTTAAGCTTGAAGTCTTGTTTACGATAGAAGAATAAAGCTTGGAAAGTCATTGATGAGATAGTGGCATGTTTGGGACCAATCTGCATTGTAAAAATTGTGTGAGATCATTAACATCCTATAATCAAGTTCCTGCCCTCCAGTAGAAGTCTTTGAGACCATGCTCATTTTTAAGTATGCATTGCTTGAGAAACATTATGAGTTATTTTTGGTAACCAATATCTTAGATTTTGGCAGCAGTATGCACATCACTGCATTCTTATCTCTGCATCAGCAATGAAAGTGTGTGGAGAGATCTGTCAGACAGTCCATTGACAGCAAGTGAAAGAGAGAGAGAGTAAGCAGGCTCTGGCTTCAAGCCAAACTAAAGTGCGCTTCAGGAGACTTTGGATGACTAATGTCCAACAACTCAGAAGATAATGGATTAATATACTTTGTTGATATGCCATTTTTCTTTGGCCTGAGGATCGAGGAGCTCATCACACATCAATAAACCTTCTCATACCCCCATTTACATTTAATCATTTTAGAGTTTAACAGTAAATACTGAGAACTTTGCACTGATAATATTATGATCCCATACCACAGACTTTAATTAATCAACATTACATAAGTGACTTTTAACATCTCTACATGCACATTTGGGTGATTCCTATTTGCAAATGCTACGTGTTATTTTTGTTAGGTTTACTCAGTAGCATGGCAATGTGGCATACTTGTTTAATTCTTAATTCTCATGACAGCTGTGTTGACTGTTCTGTTCTTCTGTATTACAGCTGTTTTCCCCAAAAAAGTTAAGAGAGTTTTGAACATATTTATCAATTAGAAAACAATCAACTTAAGCACAGTGCCCAAGGCAAATAGTGCGTGAGCAGTGGATGAAGTTAACAAAGAACTGGTATGAACAAAAACAGCAGATCTGACCTTAGACAGCTGTTTAAATATTTTCAAGTACGGCCTAAAAACCTTGAAAAAGCAGACGTACTGTAAATGCCTTTTCACCCGACACTTAATGAGTCACTGGTGGCATTTCATCCACAGTCTGTGTCATAAACTCATTTCTGTAGCTACTTACAAAACCTGTAAAATGATGTGACAGTTATCATAAATCAAATTGTAATCGGAAGATTGCCGGTTCAAGCCCCGGCTTCGACAGTCTCGGCCGTTGTGTCCTTGGGCAAGACACTTCACCTGTCACCTACTGGTGTTGGCCAGAGGGGCCGATGGCGCGATATGGCAGCCTCGCTTCTGTCAGTCTGCCCCAGGGCAGCTGTGACTACAACTGTAGCTTGCCTCCACCAATGTGAGAGTGAATGAATAGTGGTATTGTAAAGCGCTTTGAGGGGTCCCGAAAAGCGCTATATAAATGCAATCCATTATTATTATTATTAAATTTACATAATATCCAAGAAGAACAAATTAAACAATGTTATTCTTCCTACAAACAAAAAAAGGAAGAAAAACTAATTACATGCTCCTTGATTTGCTGAGGTAGTAAGAAGATTTATTGCAGGGCTAATTACTTCTCATCAAAGATAACGGAAATATTGAAAATCCTGAATCAGGAATTCAGCTTTCCAAGTTTTGATGGGTATAAGTTAGAAATAATATTTAGCCAACCATCTGAGCAAGTAGCTGTCAGAAGTAACAGAGCTGATGTTAAGTGTAAAGTGAAAATATTCTCAACTAAATGAATATGAGTGCACAGATTTTCACCTCATTGGAGAGCATTCTGAGATGCAGTATTTTTACTGTTATGAAAAATGAAAAGCCTAATATGTCATTTCCTTGTATGACAACTATGCAACCTACAAGGTTTTAAAAAACATTTTTATGGCAAGCACAAAAAATGCCAGAAAGTTGCTAAATCAGCTGACTGTAAGGTCTCCATGGTAACCTAATTGTTTTGGTGTTGTAGATTTCAGCATTGCTGTTTGGTTCAGTCTAAAAAGGCACAATCTGTAAAGCAGAAAAATGACACCAATGAAGAAGTGCCAAAAACTGAAGTTCAGCTCGGTGCCACTTGACTCCAAAAAGCAAGTCTTTCACCACAGACTCCTGTTTTGAAATGCTCAACTTTACAGCATTAAAAAGTATGATTACAGCCTATTAAAAAAGACAACTCTGAGTGGGGTGAACGTTTGTAGAATTTTTAATGGATTATCTGAGTAATTATGGCTTGCTGTGTGGAAATGTGTGCTGTGTGTGTATTACTTAGCAAAAATGTGTTGCTAGCATAGAGTTTAGCTTGCTATCCAAACTAACGTGTTTGCTATTAAAGCAACAGTTCATACTCTCATCTAAATGTGGTGCTTTTGATCCAAAAAAAGCTAACATGACTGCCAAATGCAGAGTTTTAAACTAAATGGTGATATCACGGTGGATATGTCTTTTGGTTGGTAATAGCAGCAGGCAGCAGTATTCACGGGCGCTAAAAGAACGCTGCTGTGTGCATCGTTAGAATCGCTGTTAGGAACTTCTGAGCATAGTGATGGAGTCAAATATTCCAGCCACTAACCTGACTCCAGATACTGTTCAGTGCTGTGTGTATAGGCAACATGTTCACATGAGCGACTTTAGAGTATAATGCTATTTTATATGGCTAATATTTGTGCGGTCTGATGAAATGCCCTGCGATCCTTATTTAACTGTAACAAAATACAGTACTGCATTGATAAATTACAATAAATATAGTTTTAAAAAAATATTTTACCAGTCACATGATAAACATTTTTGACTTGATACAAGTTAGCACTGGCCAGAGAAATCTTTCTGACCCCAACACAACTACACACATAGACACAAAGACACGGTGACTATGAACAGGTTCTCACAGTTTTAGCGCAGTATTACAGTAAAAGCAGGGTTTTGTTTGAATGGTGTCCATAAAACATTCACATCTTCCCCTAAACCCACAGAGAGGCAGTCGTTAGGCTATTGTAAACGACTGCAGCAGAAACACCTTCTGTCATAAACTTTTAGCTCATCACTCAAGAACTGATTTACCTAACAACCCAAAGGTGATTCTTTCGAATTTTTAAATTCAAAAATGGACACCAAGATGACTTTTCTTCAAAGAGAAACACAAGAAAAACTGTTATCATGTTGGGAAATTATCATTTGGCAAGTTTGTGCTACATTTTTGATATTTCCACAACTAATCATCACTAGTAATCAAAAAATATCATTTGGATTTACAGTTTTCTGCAGCTCTTTTTAAATGTTCATTCAACATTGTTCTCATTACTCCCGAAGTCACTGGGAAATTACTGCATGCTGTTGGGTGTCAGTCAATTCATTCAGTCTCCCAGGCTTCAGATATGCATATTACAGCCTACACACATTCTTAAATAATTTCAGAATGACTTGGCCAAACATTTATTTTTGTAATTATCTATAACCATCTGTGTTTTCCATCTGCATAACAGACTTAAACTCCTAAGATTTAACACTGCTTACTGCATGGCTCCTCAACCTCAGATTTAAAACAGAGAAAAAAAATCCAGACACATATAATCAGAAAGGATTTGTAGCATATATGTGACACATATATAAAAAATCAACTCCTTGCAAAGACCTTGCAGAAAAGAAAGGTTCGTATTCCCTATGGTTTCCTAGATTTGTGTGTTGACAGTGTGTTGTGTTGTGACTTTTGAAGGCTGTGTGATTCCTCCTCTGTGAGGCTGAAGTCGATAAGAACATTGGTTGTGTTTCACAACAGCCATGGGAGCAACCTTGGTCTTCCCAGCTGCTTTTAACAATATATTTCACCAGCCTGACAGAGAGCAGCTGAGACCTAAGTTAAACCCATTTCTGCACAAATTCCCTTTGCTTTCACCAGATGCAATTTATTCTTTTTACCTGTTGATTTTCATCTTTTATGGAGGGAAACCCTTGATAATATGTCGGTGTGCTAATAGTAGGAAAAAGAAGATTAGAACCAGAATGTCAGTCGGATTTTTGCTCATCTGGCTCATCAGGATTTGATATGTTTTAGACGTAATGGATTTAATCAGCATTTTGAAAAATATGCAGATTTTCATTCATGTACAGTAAACTGATAGGACTCTGATACCTCTCAGTTATAGCCTACAACCCAGAAAAAGTGGGGAACAGCTAAGTTCACCGATTCCTTTTATTGGGGTGTTATTTGTGGGATTATTTTTGACAGGCAGTAAGATGGAGACAACAGGATGTCCTGAAATGGTCTGCTCTTACATAACATCATCTTATCGCAGATTAAACCTTCAGGTCAGCTTTCAAGTTGTAATTGTGAGCCTGAGAAATTTGGTGTTTTTTGGACAAAACAGTCAGGTCCATAATTTACTGGACAAAGATGCATTTTTTTTAGTTTTGCCTCTGTAAACCACCATAGTTAATATGTGATTGAAGTACAAACCCACAGCTTTAATTCAAGAGTCTGTGTATGTTCCCAGTCATCAAAGTCATGGTAGTCTAGGCCCTTGAAAAGAAGAAGCCTCGTGGATGAGAGGTGAGGCATCTTCGAAAAACTATAATAAGTCCAGTCGCTGTGTTTTTCAAGCTCCTTGAACTTTAATTCAAGAGGTTTAACTTGACCCCAGAGGGTTTGCATGAACTGAGGACTGTTTTAAATAGAATAAGTATTGCAGTGACTGCCTGAAGTCTAGAACTCATGGACATCATGTCTTCCTCCTTTGAGATGCTTTACATTGATTTCAACCACCTTCCGTTGCTGCTTGTTTGTGGGTCGTTTTGTATTCAGTCTTGCATTTATGAACACAAAACGCTGCTCAACTTGGTCGAGCTCAGGTGACTCCGTTGGCATTTGAAGAACATTCCATGTCTGGGACTTTAGAAACTTGGATTGCTTTGCAGCTTTCGCTTATAAAACCATTTGCACTTTGATGCACTGTCTGATTGTTTTTGCAGCATTTTGCTGAATCTGACCAGAGAGTTTTCTTCATAATTCATCCTCCTACTTCTATCAGCGGTCATGTCATCAATAAACACCAGTGATACATTTCTACTGACAACCATAAGTTGTCTCCTCCAAGTTTTTACAGATAGTGCTGTATGCTTCACATCATGAGCTGCTTCTTTCATTCTCCATGCTGCTCACTTGAGGTTATCCTGGTACAAGTTCATCTTCGTTTCATCTCCCCAAAGATTTCTCTGAACTCTGCAGACTCTTGTAGATGTTTTCTGGCAAAGTCTAAACTGCTGCTAGCGTAGCCAGTGGTAAATCTTCTGTTCTTGCATTCATGAAGGCGTACCGAACTCTTTGAGAGTGTTCTTTAATTGGTTAGATTTTGCAAAGTGGTTTATCTTAACCTCACACAGAATTTTGTCATCATGAACTTTAGTTATCTTCTGTTCTTACAGTGTTGCTGAGCTGGCCAGTTCATTCATTCTTTTGAAAAATGAACCAGATTATTATTTTGGCCTCTCTTCAAGTTTTATGCTATCTCTCTGAGAGGTTTGTTTTGTTTTTTGGCCTCCCTTGCCAAACATCTGACATCGCCTTAGGTCTCATATTAAAAATACAGTGAAAAGCTATCAACTATAAATTCAACACTTTGAATTAACTTCAGATATTGTCCATCCCTCCATCCAGATAATGTGTCTGCTTCTTTTTTCATGAAAAACAAGGTAACGCTACTTACCTTCTCAGTCAATTGTCCAAATACTTTAGAGCCTCTGAAAATGGGACACTGTGTATATAAATTGCTGTAATTCCTTAACCAGTAAATTATCATTTTTACAAAGCTTCTTGAATTAAAGCTTAAAGTCTGCACTTCAATCATATCTGTTTGAATTAAAATCCACTGTGGTTTATTTGTCTAACAAAGTATAGACCCAACAGTATGTGCTACTTTGTTATATGAATTATGTTTTCAATAAATCTGTGGGAAAATGTCTGCAAAGCCCCCATAGTTTTAATTCATAGCCCAGTTTATACTGTTACGACAGGAAAGAAGTTCATTAGCACTGTACGCGGGTAATAGCAGCTTCCAGTATTTACTGTATGTTGAGATAAGCTAAGCCACCTCCTCGCTGTATTTTTAAAGGACTGATAAGAGATTTTTTTAATTAAATCAAGAAAGCTGTAAAGCATATTTCCCAGCACTCCAAGCTGCAGCCCAGACTATTCTTCATATAATATGACCAAGCCACTGTGGTTAAGTTACTGGTACCAGCCAAGTTAGTCTCTGAGTCAGGCTGCTGAGAAATCAACCAGGGGTTTGATTCACTGTTGTGCTTGTGCCAGAACACGTGTCAGTCCAAAAATAGTTTCCTCTTGAAAGTGTGTTTCATTTAGTGTCTGCCATTTCACACCATAAGAGGAAAGACAAAGAAGTGTAAGTAGCTTAAATCCCTCTAACCTGTTTGTAGATTAAATGATAGAAATAAAAGTAATAAAGTAATAACCTAGAACAGGGGTGTCGAACTCCAGGCCTCAAGGGCCGGTGTCCTGCAGGTTTTAGATATCACCTTGGGTCAGCACACCTGAATCATATGATTAGTTCATTACCAGGCGTCTGGAGAACTTCAAGACATGTTGAGGAGGTCATTTAGCCATTTAAATAAGCTGTGTTGGATCAAGGACTCATCTGAAACCTGCGTGACATCGGCCCTCGAGGCCTGGAGTTCGACACCTCTGACCTATAAGGACTGTAGGTATTACTAAACACTTCTCCTAAGACGCACTGGACTAATCAGAGAGATACTGCCAAGGAAACACAAAACATGCATATTCATCAAAAGTGCATACACATGATCCAGTTTTCAGTATAAAATTCTCATCTTTGTCAGTTTTACACCGGCTTGTATTTTTCCTCACTGCAGCTGCTGATTCCCTCTGAAAGTGTGTAAAAGTGCTCTCATCTGACATTCATTTTAGTCTCTCAGTACCTGCAAACGTAATTTATGTATTACAGGGTTTAATGATTTGTTGGACGACCATTTATCACAAAGTTATTGGTGTGACAATCTCTTCCAGGACTCCCCGCATAGCAAACACAATAAATCATCAGAACATCAGAAATTCCCGATTCACTTTCCACAGTTGTTTAGGTTTCAGGTCATAAAAGCATGTTTCTAGAGAAGTACGCACGAAAGCACATGTAAATCCTCATCGGTCCATCTCCCCAACTGACCGGGAGTCTGTACTCCTGGCTTTGTAACATTGTAAGCAGTTATCAGATGCTGTGACATATGACAGACGTATCGGTAATCAAGTAGGCGACTGCAGATAGCTACTCTCAGGAAAGTCAAATGACCTCCAAAGAGTATGATAGTCTAGATGGCAGCTTGATTGTGCATTACCTTTTGGCCATCAAGCTCAAGTGCACCAGTTAATAGTACACGTACACAATATTGCATTTATATTTATTATTCTGGCTACAAGGGAGAGTCGGAGGTAATGATTTGGTGTATGGCTATTCCTGCACCAAATTATAGGTGCTGGACTGTGGTCGGCCAAATACTTGAGTGAATTCTTATTCTTTATTCAAAAAAATGAATGCATAAACTATCAATGGCTATACTATAATGGCTATTCCCCAACCACCCAACACATCGCTATGATACGTACCTTTTTCTTTGATGCCTCTGACTTTTTGGACATATTTCTTAGTTTTTTGTGCAAGTGATTTAACACCTGTAAACAAGGGATACAGAAGTCAAATGTACATTTCTTTAGCAGTAATTCCTCTAATTATATCACTGACCTGTGTGAACAGCCTTTTCTTACCTTTGCATAACAGAAAGAAATGAGCAGCAGAGGCAGCACATAACCAAAGATAAACGTGCAAACCACATAGATCTTCTTTTGGTTCTGATCCGGCCACACTTCCCAGCAAAAGGTGTGATTTTCCCCTCTCTGAAAAATATTCTGGTAATACATGATAGGCGCAGCCATGGCCAGGGAGAGTATCCAAATCACCACCACACCAATAAGAGCGTGCTTCGCCACCCGAATAGAGGACGACTTTCTGGAGTGAACGATGGCAATGTATCGGTCCACTGACATAGCGGATAGGGTGAAGATGCTGACCAGCATAGAAACAGTGAAGAAGTAGTGGATGAATTTGCAAATAAACGCACCGAGCACCCAAGTGGGCATCATGTAGATAGTGGACTGGAAAGGGATGCAGAAGAGCAAGTAAGACAGGTCTGCTATGCTTAGGTTCAGGATGAATATGTTGGTGGTGCTTCGAGGTTTTCCCGGTTTGCTCCGGGCCAGCACGGTGATCACCATGGAGTTGCCCAGCACGCCGAGCGTAAAGATGAGCCCGAAAACCAGAAGCGTGATGAAATTATCCGTGCCGATCCCGAATAAAAGTTTCTCGTCCTCCTCCTCCTCCACACGGCTGAGGTTCCAGGGCTCTTCCAAGAGCCAAACAGAGTCTGTCAAGTTCATTATTTATTCTTTGCTCTTCGGATTAAGTTAAAAGGTAAGCAAAGGCACCTGCAGCTGGTCTGTGCTGCTTCATTGCACGGAATTTTCTGGGCAAGGGTTTATGGTCAGGTGCGTTTCCATCAGCGTTCCTGCAGACAGTATTGTTGCTCTCCTGTGTCTTTGTGTCGAGACTTCGGTAAATCCCCCTCTTAGCTTTCTATATTATATTTGTGTATATTTCAAAGCGATCTCGGTTTTTGTGCAGCGTTAAATCAGCTTTCCAGCTGCGCGTTTTGGAGTCGCTCTCCCGGCGCGCACCTGACCCGAGCGCGCAGCGACCGCGCCGATCCAGTCTGTTGCTTCTTTCTCCGCGTCGGGACTTTTTCCTCTCAGATTAGAGCAGGGGCTGGGCTCTACCGCTGCACGTCAGCATCAATACCACCTCCCAAGAAATAGGGGGGGAGGGGGGGGGAGCGAGAGAGAGAGAGAGAATTAATGGAATACTGTTTATTCTACGTGTTTCCGAAACCATCCCATTAAAACTGAACGTCAAAGTAATTTTCCTTGTCAGATTCAGTTTGTTTGTGATACTTTACGGCCAAGGTGCAAATGCTGCTCTGATCACAGGGCTGGTCTGTCAAATGTGCAATAAACCACAAAACAATATCGTTCGCCAGTCATGGTCTTGATTGGCTTAAATGGCTTTTATCATAGAAAGAAAATAAACTGCCGAAACATGTTATAACAAATGGTACTTGGTTGCAGTGTCATTTTTATAATGTCTGCCTTATTTCACCCAGTAAAAAGGAAATGTACATTCTGATGCACTTTTCTGATTAGGAAAGCTCTCATTTGTCTTATTTGACCAGTTTTTAAGTTTTGGTTACTCAATAATATGAACAATAATCAAATCACAAGCAGACGAAGATTGTTTAGCAGATGTTGACCTTAGTGTGCATGTGTGTGTCTGTGTGTGTTCCCTCAGATTGTTGTGATCCCTCAGAAGACTTGGGGAGTCTTTTTTCAAATCCAAGTTGACAAGAATGTCATGCATGAACTGTTAACTTATTGTTCTGTGAATAACGTGGCGGAAAAGCGACTAAAAATACATTATGGAAATAACACAGGGGCACGCTGACTTTTTTCCCTCTAAACAGCAACAGTGAAAATAAATTTATACCAGCCAATTTCCAAGAGTCCAAAGTGACATTTTCAAGTCGCTTGAGTTGTCTTGCAGGCAGCAATCAAAAACTAGAAGATGCGCTGTGTACTATTAAAAAAAAAAAAGCAACGACAGAAATGCTGCAAATTCTTGCAAGAGAAAAGCAGTTTGACCGTTTTATTTTTTGCAGTAAAACTGCAAAATATCTGCCATTCTGCTAATAAATGTAACCACTAATCTCCAGCTCTACTCAGGATTTTTAGAATTTGCTCTTCATCTATAGAAATGTATTATTGTTGAGCACTACAGGTGAATCTCAGTGAATTTTAACCATGCATGCTCAGTCATCCTTACCTGAATGATTGAGCATGCATACAACCAGTTAATAAGCTCAAAGACCCTTAACAAGAATTGTACCTGATGTGAATTGCTTTAAATAAAGAATGAGTCTACCATGGTGCTCCTTACCCTCGTGCTGATTAGGAAAATGGATTTTACTGTGCCGCCTTTTTAATCCACTCTGTAATAAGTCAGCTGTTTGCACATGTGATTTTGTAAATTGTTGCTTGTTTATAGGTGAAGTAGCTTCAATATAGCAATATCGTTCATTTGGAGCCACATTTGGAGCTTCCTTGAAACTTTTAATTAAATCATTCAGACATTTTTTCCTTTGTGCCAGCTCCCGTGGGAACTTTTTATACAAAGCCAATTGCAAAAACGTTGGGAAAATGTTTCCAAAAATGTAATTAAAAACAGAATCCAGGAACATATCAGCCTATTTTAAATTTCATGACTGTGTGTTTCATGGGGGTTTTTACAAACTTTAGACAGGGTCATGTTTACCACTGTGTAGCATTCACTCTTCTTTTAACAACATAGACATTTGGGAACTAAGGAGACCAGCTGCTTGACTTTTGGGAGAGAAATGTTATCCTATTCGTGTCCAATACAGGATTATAGCTCCTGGAGTTTCTTTGATGTGTTTTCCTTTTCATCATGCTCCAAATGTTTTCGGTTGGTGAAAGGTCTGGACTGCAGGCAGGCCAGTTCCTCACTCTTAACTCTTCTGGTATGAAGAGACGCTGTTGTGATAGATGCAGTGTGCAGTTTAGCATTGTTTTTCTCAAATATGCAAAGCCTTCCCAGAAAAGTCCCCACACTATCAGAGATGCAGGCTTGTTAAAAAGCTGGATGGCCAATCTTTGTCCAGAAGACAATTTGTTTATGTTTTCCGAAAGCAATTTCAAATTTTGAGCACAGAGCAGTATTTCACTCTGCCTAAGTCCATTTTAAGTGAACCTAGCAGCATGATCTTTATATAAGGCTTCTTCTTTGCATGACAGAACTGTAACCTGCATTTGTGGATGGTATGGAGATTTGTGTTCACAGACAGGGCTTTCTGGAATTGTTCCTGCACCCGTCCAGTCATGTCCATGTTTTCAATGTAGTGCTGCCTGAGGGGCCAAAGATCACTGGCATCCAATACTGACTTTCAGCTTTGTCCCTTGTGTATACAGAGATTTCTCCAGGTTCAAAACACTAGAAGTATTTGCAATTTTACATTGGGAAACATTATTTTGAAATTATTCCAAAATATTATTTCGTAAAATTTAGATGTAGTTCTTTTTTTTCTTTTTTCCTTTTTTTTTAAGAGTGATGAACCTCTGCCTCTTTTTAAGATGCTCTTTTTATACCCAGCCATCTTACTGGCCTGTTAGACATTTGAGAAGTTTTCGATGTTCTGTTACGATTGAATAAAATACATGCTTGTGAGATTTAGAAATCAATGCATTCTGTTGTTTACATTTTACACTGTCTTTAAACTTTTTGGGAACTGGATTTGTAATACACTGTATTACTGTTTGCCTTTCAATGACACAGACAGGAAACATCCAGGAAGAAACCACTTCTGGCATCAGCCTCAAATCCTGAAGGAACTAGAGATTTTCTTGGAAATATGGCCATCCTTTTTGATCTCAGCTACACATCTGCAGAGTGTTATTACTGCATCCTGCACAGCTTGACATTACTGTGTTAGCAAGTAGGCACCGACAGAAATCAAGACGGACCTTTGCTGAAGCATGCTAAATCTTTGAATTGGACATATGGCTGCGTTGTGTCAAAGTCATTTGTTTACAGTCTTTGTAATTAGTTTATTGCTATCAAATGCAGCAGGTTAAATTGGCAGCATATTTGTTTCACGATGCTGTTAAGCTACTTGAAAGGTTACTCGCATCCATCTAACTTTACAGCAATCTGCCGCCCCTGCCTTGAATGTCAGGCAGCCCTTGTTTAAATCCAGTTTGCTGCCTTCACCTGACATATTTCATAACGTGGACAGACTTTTTTTGCCTTTTTTTTTAATGCATTTACAGCATGTTCTGCTTGTAGAGCGTTTCCTTGTGGACAGTGATTGCTTCCATGTCAGAGAGTAAAGTCTTTTTTCCTGTCTATTGTTTGCCTTTCTTCTTCTCTCCTGACAGCCTTGGCGTTGGTTCTGTGCTCCGTTACCCTGAGCTGTCTTGGAAAATGAAATGCTCATGGGTTTATCGAGCTCTTCCGGCAGCAGCGGCAAGGCGGGTGAAAGGCGTAGATGAGGACAGGTCAAGGTGGAATAACTCCGTACTTTCTGCTCCTGCCAGACTTTCAGATCCTCACAAGTGCAACTCGACACTCGGCGTGCCTCCCGGTGAACAGTAACTGGTGAGGCCGCAAGCAGAATGGAGTGCACTCACATCTCAACAGACATTCAATTTGGGCGTGATTCAATTGCATGTGACCTCTGAATGCTCAAAATAATTGTTATTTTAAAGGTCAGGCGCAAAACAAGCAAAGCAAACAGACACAAGAGTATTTCAGTGTAATAAAACATATCATTTGTGTGCATGCTATTAATATTTTGGATATCGTGTGCCCGCAAAGGGCCTGGCAAACAGACTTAAATGTGTTTTTTAGACCTTAAGAATTCAACAACATTCGTTTTGGTGACAATAATGAATGTAAAATCCCATTAGACGGCTCTAACTTTAACAGATGCCTGTGTTTTGGTACCAGGCTTTAGGGGGCTTAATGAAAAATTGCAAAAAAAATAAAAAAAATAAAAAGAATGGTCACAATCAAAAGCAGCAGAAGCCTTTTAGCCCTCGTTTGTGTCCCACTGACTCACAGAGGATGTATTCAGGCTGCACAGAATTCATGCATGCTGCTGTTCCATGCAAATCTCTGCTGGAGGTGAAGCTTTTTTCTTGATTTTCTTGATATCAGAGCACAGGTTTTGTAGGGGTTTCCAATGAGTAGAACATGCCTATTTTTATGAATTAGAAACACTGCATCTGGCTCTTAGCTCTTCCTGAAATGAACTGGGCATGCTTGAGAGCACTTTTTTTTTGCAAGGGGAAGGATAGATTTCAAGCATCATTGCTCTATCAGATATTGGCAAAAAGGAAAAGGCTGTTATCAGTTATTGAGCATTTCAGGAGTTAGGGCTGGAAGTAATGCAGTCTTTTCATTACTTTTATTGCTGAACTATTACAGACAGTTGCCAAGCCACAGCTTTACGAACATCTTGAGGTAATGTGTGTGACGACTGGTGTAAGACTCACAATATATTGGCTTTTTAACACACTGAATGGTGAATTTGAGGAACCAGCTATCTAACAGTAGCTATTAGCCTGTTAGTCAGACATTGCCTAAGATGAGTTTTTTAAAGTAATTTGAATTTTACCATGCATGACCATTGTGGTGGCTTCTGTGTGTGAGATCTTATCTCTTCTTCTTCTTCCCTTGTAATTAAACCTAACAGGGTGAATCCAGGTAATATTTAATATCAATCAGGTTTCTTGGAACTCATTTTCCAAAGTGTAGAGATAAAGTAGAGCTGCTTGTATAATGAGACTTTGTGCCCTTTGGGTGGTAACCTTGTTAGCCTGACCATTCAGAATGAACTCAGCATTTCCACCCTCATACCTTTGATTATGAAAGAATTGAAGCTTTTTCTGAAAATAGAT